CCCCGCCCCGTGCGCCCCCGCTCGTGTGTCTTCGAGGAAGGACGCGGCAATGACTGTAGATCCCCGGAGCTCATTCCCAGCCTGCGGCCCGACATGCGACCGCGGGTACTGAGCTCTCCCGTGGGCCTGCCACAGGGCCTGACCACCGCCACACGGGCTGATGGAGTGCTGTGGGAGATTTGTGGTGGGCGCCTGCTCGGCACCTCCGCTGTGATTCCAGGTGGGCTCAGACCACACCACTGGTCATATGGTGGCTCTGGAGGGGCCCTGGCTACAGGGCCAGCCTGGCCCAGCCTAGTGTGGGGACTTCTGGGAGGCATGGCCTTAGAGCTCGCCTGTGCTGGACCCCAAGCAGGCGCTGCCAAGACCTGCCCCACGGGCACCCCTTCCTGGCAAGGTTGGGTCTGAGGCCCAGCCCTGGGTGCTGCCTGAGCCCTCTGGCTTGGTAAGTCCTTTGTCCACTTCACCCAGGTCTTTATTAAATGTCCATCTCGGCTGGAGATGGGTCGGGGTCGGTGGACCAGGCTGCCACATGGTGCCCTCACCTTGGCAGGAAACTGAGACAGACAATACGACCAGTTAGAATCATGTACTGGGTTGTGTTGCCCTTCTGTGAAGGACGTTGCCTCCGAGGGCATTTGGGGGCCTCCCAAGGTCGGGGTGTGAGCTGCAGAGAGCTGGGAGCAGCAGGCCCAGGTGAGCGTGGGTCGTGGGGCTGGGGGCCAGCTGATGACTTTGGAGTTTGGTCCCTGGCAGTGGGAGCCCCCCCTTTTTTCTTTAATTTATCCAAAAATTTTGAAGTGAAAAACTCTAAAATCCTCTTACACGTTAATCATGGAAAATGATACAAAATGAGTTCTACAAGAGTGTGGATGCAATCTTAATTTTCTGTAGATATTTTAAAATGATCAGTGTAGCCTCACTGCATAAGTAGATAGGAGTCCTTGGCTTATATAATTTTCAGTGTGATTTCCATAGTCAAAGCAAGACGTGGAAATAGATTTCTCATACCCGAGTAACTTAGAACTGCTTGTCTTTCTTACTTTTAGATCTTAGATTCTAGGCTATTATTTAGATAAAGCAATGCTAGCTCAGTGGCTAAATCCAATAGAAGCTTTTTACTTGCTCACATGAATTCCAATTGGTGGCAGGGTTTGGGATGGGTTTCTGTTCCACTTAGAGACCCTGGCTAAGCAGATTATGCCATATTTGACCTGTGGCTTTTACGTTTTTCTGGATATTAACATCCAGCTCTCCAAGAAGTGACTAGGACAACGGGGGTCCCACCAGAGGATTTTATGCCCAAGCCTGGAAGTGGTCCACGTGACTTCTGCCCACTTCCGTTGGCCAGAACTCGAGAGAAGGCTGGGATATGGCATCTAGCCGTGAGCACAGGGAGACGAACGGGTGAACTGCTGGCTGCTCTCTGCCCCAGTTCCTGCAGCTCCCTGAGCCAGGAGGAGGGTCCGGGAGAGAGCTGGCTGGGCTGCAGAGAGGCGGGCAGGTCAGGGCCAGGAGCCCATCTGGTGTCAGGGGCGGATCACCCAATAGACAAGGTAAGCATGGTGCTTACCTTGCTTACCAAATCATCATAGTGAGCAATTTCCCATTTTTCACCACATCAAATATTCTGCTTCTAGGAGAGGACAGGAACGCTGGTAACCGGGAACCCACGTTCCAGAAGGGAGAGTGTTGACATGTCTTCGTGTTGTTAACGAACGTCATAAAACAATATGTGTACTGTTTAATGAGAAATGATTTGTTCTGTAAACTTTCATCTAAAGTACAATTTAAAAAAATGATAAGAAACCTAAAAAAACAAAAACAAAGATTCTGTGTCTAGGTACGGCTGGTGTCTCTCTCCCAACCCCACAGCACCTTCTTACAGAATCAAAGCCTTGTTTCAAATTTACAATCCCTGCCAGAGGCAGACGACCCAATAAGCAAGGTAAGCACAGGCTTGCTTGTGCTCGCTTACTAATCTGTAGTGAACAATTTCACGTCGAAGATGCAGTGAAAGTATCCACTGAAGATGACCTGGTAAGCAGGCTACGCACTGTGCTTACCTTGCCTATTGGATAATCCGCCCCTGCGTGGTGTGACAGGTCCCATGTCACCATGGCCCAGGAGGCAGTGTCCATGCAGAGACAGCCCCAAAGTGGTCTCCGGGAGCAGTGGACACTGCTCTGCTCCCCGCACGACCATCCACATCAGAAAACCCAACACTTTGCACCAGAGAGCAGCCAGGTGTCCCCAAAATAATGTCACCTCAAAACGTTTCCACAAACCCTCCAGAGCTCAGTGCTGCTGAGGCTGGGTACTTGTGGTGAGTGCTGAGGGGGACTGTCCATGAGGGGGCGCCTGCTGTCACCGAGGGCCGACGGACGCATTGGGGCTGTGGGGCCTGGCAGTCCTTCCCGTCCGAGGTCCGTGCTCTCGCACCCTTTCCAGGGCGCTGCATCTCTGCATTGTCTTTGTGCGGTTTATTCCTAGAGGTCCCACAGTGGGCCCCCCAGTGTGTTCCCCGCACACACCCCTGCCTGGCCTGGACCCCTCAGCTTCTCCGTCGAGTCTTCAGGCCAACCAAGGTTCCACTGTGGGGGCAGCGGGGCAGGAGCTTGGGGTTTGATTTTACAGCTGGATCTCACACGATTTCTGCAGGTGGCAGGTGATAGAAATTGGGTCCCTGACAGGTGGCAGCTGAAGGGGGTACACAGTTGGTCTTTTTGTTTGTCTGGTTTGTGCCTTTTTGTGTCTGCACCAGGATGAGTGCCCTGAGAGTATCACACCCACGGAAGCACCAGGACACAGAATAGCCAGGCCCAGGCCTCCATGCTCGCTGGGAGGCCAGACGGAGTCATTCAAAAACCAGTCTCTCCAGGAAGTTTAAAAGAAGCAAAAGAAACGCCGCCTCCTCTTTGGGGGAACCTGGAGAGCTTTCGGCTGCTTGGGGAAGCTGCACGCCTGCAGGTTGGCACCCAGCTCCTTCAGTGCGGGCAGGAGCTTGGGGAAGCCGCACGCCTGTAGGTTGGCACCCAGCTCCTTCAGTGCGGGCAGGAGCTTGGGGAAGCTGCACGCCTGTAGGTTGG